TACCTCACCTCCGCCTGTGATATATGATACCCTCCACCCGCCCCCCCCCCACTCTGTTTGTCCCCCATCCCCCTCCCCCCACGCTGTATTTGCCCCCTCCCCCATCCATCTCTGTATATTATTTTCTCCGTCAGTGCTCGAGTCAGTAGGTGAGTCAGACAAAAGAGGTGTATAGTGTGTGTGTGTGTGTGTGTGTGTGTGTGTGTGTGTGAGTCACTTCCGGTTATTAGCAGGATAAATATACACTATAGGTAATGACTGACAGGTGTATAGTGTGTGTGTGTGTAAAGTGCAGGTGTGTGGGGGGGTGCAGGTGTGTGTGTGAGAAGTGCAGGCTATGTGGGGGTACACAGGTCAACAATATTAAAGTGCAGGCTGTGTGGGGGGTGCAGGTGTGTGTGGGGGGTGCAGGTGTGTGTGGGGGGTGCAGGTGTGTGTGGGGTGCAGGTGTGTGTGTGGGGTGCAGGTGTGTGTGGGGGGGGGGCAGGTGTGGGGTGCAGGTGTGTGTGGGGGGGTGCAGGTGTGTGTGGGGTGCAGGTGTGTGTGGGGTGCAGGTGTGTGTGTGGGGTGCAGGTGTGTGTGGTGGGGTGCAGGTGTGTGTGGGGGTGCAGGTGTGTGTGGGGGTGCAGGTGTGTGTGTGGGGGGTGGGTGTGTGTGGGGGTGCAGGTGTGTGGGGGGTTTCAGGTGTGTGTGGGGTGCAGGTGTGTGTGGGGGTGCAGGTGTGTGTGTGTGTGTGGGGGGGTGCAGGTGTGTGTGGGGGGTGCGTGGAATAATCAGAACGATTATATATGGATTTAGGCCAGTCTTTAGTAAGTACAAGGTACATATTTGGTAATCTTCCTCTCTCTCTCTCTCTCTCTCTCTCTTCTCTCTCTCTCTCTCTCCTCTCTCTCTCTCTCTCTCTCTTTCTCTACCATCTTCCTCCCTTGTCCTTCCCCTCCCTTCCTTTCCTCGTCTCCTTTTCCCCTCCTCCTCCTTCCTCGTCCCCATCAATCTTCCCCTCCTCTCATCCTTTTTCTCCTCCTGTCACCAACCCCTCCTCCTCCTCATCTTCCTCTTCCTTAATCACCTACTCCTCCTCCTCCTACTCCTTCACCCTCCTACGTACCAAAGCCATAGGAAAGACAGTCTCAGAAACTCTCCTTAAACAACTCCACCTGGTCAGACTTCTACAGGAAATGATGATCTCCCTCTCCCCCCCCCCTTCCTTCCTTCCTTCCTATCCTTCAAATAAACAAAAAAGAAGAAGAAGAAAAACAATAACACATGAAATCGACAAAATTAATGAATAGAAAGAAAAAACTGACGAACATTTCATTAAAAACTAAAAAAAAAATTGAAGAGAAATTAACAAATACATGGAATAAGCCATAACATTATTCAATCTCAATTCATCAACTCTATCAACACATTTCTGAGGCTAAAAATTGATGACAGGACCCCAATTGACAGTCAACCAGGACGTGACTCACAAGATTTTTAAGAAAGAGTTGATTAATGGTTAATTGACAAGTGAAGACCTGATTTCAACTCCACAATTCGTCAATTTCAACTAATATCAGGGAGTATATTGATGTGTTTCGCTATTGGGAATTCTGGGTAATATCTACAATCCAATTCGTCAATGTCAACCTGTACCGTTGGCTATATTGTCGAATTCCCGCTCACCTACCCACCTACCCACCCACCAGTCCACCAGCCCACCTACCCACCAACCCACCAGCCCACCCGGCGCCGAGGAAAAACTGAGGGCACAGAGACGAAAGACGAAAACATAGGAAGAATTGGTAACATTTTCGTCATCTTTCTGGGGAGGATTAATCGTCTTTTCGTCATATAATTGATGAGTTTTACCTTCATTCACTACTTTTAATCTTATAAGTGACATCTTTTACTAACATAGACAATACTTAAGTGATGAGTTGCCATTCCTTCATTACTTAGGAAGATGGAGTTTGTAAATAAGTCTACATTGATAAATATTTTTCTCGAGTACACAGGTTCGCTACCCACCGTCATTCTTTACAGCTGAGGGTACAGGGATGGAGGTGCTCTATTGATAAGGCTTAACAGGTAACAGTGAACACGACCAATAAGTCTTAACAGGTAACGGTAAACACGACCAATAAGTCTTAACAGGTAACAGTAAACACGACCAATAAGTCTTAACAGGTAACAGTAAACACGACCAATAAGTCTTAACAGGTAACAACAGTAAATTCGATCATTATGACTTAATAAACAGAGTCTGATCAGAGAACCTTGGCTAGTGAAGCACCTGAAGACGTCAAAGGGTTAATTAATTCAGGTGAGTTGTATCGTCCATTAGTCTGGTAATTATCTAAAACTTTTCTCTCTCTGTAAATAATTGTCAAATATTTGTATTCATATATAAAATCATATAAAAATATCTATGGTAGTCTTATATATCACAAATATTAAGCCAGTTACTAACCCAGGTGATATATAGAGTAAAAGCCACCCCCCCACCTTACCACCCCCCTTCCCTCCCCCGTACGTTGCCATGGAAACAATATGGCTTCAAACTCTCGTAAAATATAATAAAAATACATATTGTTTACCTCATCCCACAGCTCCTTATGTAACACAAATAGTTTTAAAGGAATAATGAATTACTGGAGTAAGTTATGGTAGTTACAAGATACACTGATGGATAGTTTAATTTCTCATTTGACAAAGGTGGTTGTTTCTCATTTGACTAATTGTATATTTTTCCTCTACTTGTCCTTAAAATAACAACAACATTAAGACCTCTCACCCATAGTTAAATATACTTAGGTAATTCAGTCACTCGTTTGGTTATAATACACGTAGTCATAGGTATAAATGTATTCTGAAATATGTATACTTCACAGTGTTATTCATAAACCACTAATACATACGTGACGGTAATACGAAAATTCAGATTAACAAAAGAATTCGATTTTTTCTTCCTTACCTTTATGAGTAGCGAAGTTTATGTTGATATATTACGATACTATAACGAAATACACCAATATACATACGAATACATAAGTAAAGTAGATATATATTAACGAGATATACATACGGACAAAGTATACATTCTTATTCCTGTAAAAAAATTAAAAATAAAACAGTTGACTTACCCGACAGACTGAGAGTTGTTGACAGTTGATGATAATGAAGACAATTTGCTTCAAGAAAAAGTCATGCAAACACAACTCAAACAACTGGACATAAACAACTGAAGACAATATCACGTGACCATCATACCTCAGGACTGTTTATTTTCTTATTATTTTTGTTTATAAGAGTAAATCCATCAATTGGTTTATCACAGGAAAAAACTACAACTGTTTTTAAAGGGATTAACGTAAAGTGTCTTGTAACTAAAATGGGGTAATATTTTTATTATGTTTTGTTTATTGTTTGTTGTTGTTGTTGATCTGAGGTGAGTTGGTCATGTAGATACTAATCGCTGTAAAAAAGGAAGGAGTTAGTTCCGGATCACAACCTGGAGTTTGACCTATTCTAACCTAATCTGACCTAACCCTGACCTCACTTGACCAAACATAATCCAACACATCCCTAACTTGACATAAAAAAACATATCCTTAACCTCATTTAACCAAACTTAACCCTTAACCTAACCTAACTTAGAGTCATATGTAAGTACAGAGATATGAGATAACCTGTAATGTGATGCTGTTTTGTTTACAGGACAGATGGACCTGCATACAGTCTCTCACAGGAATACATCATCTTAACTACCCAACAACTTAACTACCCAACAACTTAACTACCCAACAACTTAACTACCCAACAACTTAACTACCCAACAACTTAACTCCCCAACAACCTCTTGAATCATTTATACAACACACACGAGCGATGCACAAAGGAGTGACCATAAAATGCATTAATGAGCTCCTGGTCTGGTTGGATAGTATAGCCAATCCAAAAAAGTATCTCTACCCCGTGGGAGCGATGGAATACAAAACGAACGATAACCTTAGACACATTCATGCATCAGTTAGGTTGGGTTGTGTTGGTTTTCGTTCGATGTTTCATATTATTTCGGACGATTAGGGTCTCGATGCTTTTTGGATTAGCTGTACACAAGACAGAGAATATTGCATTGAGTCGTATTTGGATAAAGAGAACTCGCTCGTGTAGTAAACAAGTTATCAGTCAGTCAGTAAGGAGTATCAGTGTTAATTTTGTCTCCTAACTGGTGCTAAATGAAGGTATCTAGTTAAGGTGGAGTCTAAGGGTAATTCTGATGTTATTTTTAGTTATTATTACAAACATATTTTTCTTCCAGCTGTGAGGAAAATTTTATATGCATTTCGGCCAACCAGTAAGAGGATAAGATGTACGGATTCCTATTCCATTCAACCAATCAGAGGATGAGACGTAATGGTTCCTATATCATTCTACCAATCAGAGGAGGAGATGTACGGATTCCTATTTCATTCAACCAATCAGAGGATGAGATGTAAAGGTTCATATTTCATTCAACCAATCAGTATACGAAAAAAATCCATATTTACTGAGTACACCAACCTATTTCAAAATCCACGAATATGATAAAATATTTGACCATTATTTTTGTGGCTGTGCCCATTTTCCTGTGCCCATTTTCCTGTGCCTATTTAACTAACCATTCACCTATTTCATATACCACTAACCAATTCTCATTAACCACGAACTTATTTCACGGACCAATAACCAATTCCATTAGTTAATAACCAAATCCCCTGACCCATTTTAAGGACAATTGACCTATTTACATTACCCACTAACCTATTAAACCTCAATAGAAACATTATTAACAGGAAGTGATCCGTAACTTCTCTTCCCTTTAACCACTAAGAGACATTAACCACAAAAACACAAAAAGAAAGAGAGAGAGAGAAAGAGAGAGGGAATAACACGTGCTGGTTCTTCCTTTCTCTCTTTTCTCTCTCTCTCTCTGTCTATCTTTTCTCAGTCATTTTCTTTCTATTTCTACTCACGCCAATTCCTGCGGCGATGGCTGCTGTCTGTACTGCGGTAGCTGCGGCACCAGAGAGCTCGGGTGCGGTTCCTCCTGCCGCCATAGTCGCCTGTTCTTGCAGTTCGGCTATCTCCTCCGGGCTCATATCCTCGTAGATAGCGATAGTCCCTGTAGCAGTCTTGATGCGAGCCTTCACGTCTGAGGTCTTATGCCAGGTAATGCTTGATTGGGTCTTAACCTCAGTCATCGGGTTCGGGTTCGATCGGGACATGAGCGTCGAACCCAGCTTGTCCAAGAACCCTGGAAAGTAGGAAGTGATATAGTGGGTTCGGTTTGGTTATTGTTTTTTTTATTACAATTAAAGATAAAATAATAACTGTATACCTTATTATTTTATTGACTGGGATTAATAAGTAAAAAAAGTATTGCGTCATTATTTGCTTCATTTTTAATTATTGCGTCACACACACACACACACACACACACACACACACACACACACACACACACACACACACACACACACACACACACACACACACACACACACACACACACACACACACACACACACACACACACACACACTCACTTTTCTGGTTCCGGACTTTCAAAAAATCGTACAGGTAAATTTGTCTCCCTTTTACCTATTTATTAAGGTGAGTCAGTCAGATACGTTCATTTTCACATGATAAAGGAAGAGATTTTTACCTTGAGGAACTATGAGAATCCGTCAGATTATCGTAGCAAATGTGAGTCAGTTAGATACGTTTTGACATCACTGACATCACGATTTAAATTTATTCTTACCCTCACCAGCTAGATACGTCCTGACATCACTGACATCACGATTTAAATTCATTCTTACCATCACCAGCTAGATACGTTCTGACATCACTGACATCAAGACTTAAATTCATTCTTACTCACCAGCTAGATACGTTCTGACATCACTGACATCATTGATACATAAGTTTTTACTACACAAGAGAATCCGGATTTAGTGGCTATGACGGCCCTCCTTACCTCAGGTGTTTATTGCCTAGGTGTGTCGGAGGAGGAGAGAAGAGAGAAGAGACAGAGAGGTGAGGTGGTGATAAAGAGAAACAGAGAGAGAGATAGATGAAGGTAAAAAAGAGAGAAGGAGAGAAAGAGGGAAAGAGGGAAAGGGAGAGAAAGGGAGAGAGGGATAAGAGGGAAATGGAGGAAGGGAAGGAGGAAGAACGTAAACACAAGGAGAGAGAGAGAGAGAGAGAGAGAGAAGAGAGAGAGAGAGAGAGAGAGAGAGAGAGAGAGAGAGAGAGAGAGATAAATATAGAGAGTATCAGATATGTATAAGGAAAAAAGAAGAGGGAAGAAGAAGAAAAAGAGGGAGGAAGAGGAGAAGAAGAATAAGGAGAAGGAGGAGGAAGAACAAGAAGAAGACCAACATAAGGAGGAGGGAAGGAGAATAAAGAAGAATAAGAACCAGAAATAGGAAGAAGAAGAAGAAGAAGAAGAAGAAGAAGAAGAAGAAGAAGAAGAAGAACCCTTAACTCAAAAATCTTCCCTAAAAGTAATACCTAAACTTAAAACCTGTGCTTGGTAATACATTTTAAGGGAGCCATTTCATTTTAGGTCCTTAGGGGTCATTTTAAGGTCCTTATCTTAACATTACATTTTGGGGATCCATTACATTTAAGGAGTTAAGGATCGTTTTAAAGACTTCCTTAAAAGATAATACCGAACCTAAAAACCCTGATCAAAGAATTACATTTTAGGGATTTAAAGACCAACTTAAAGGTTTTACCCTATTTGTTACATGGAAAGGATTCAATTTTATTTTAGGTCAGAGAATTTTAGGTAATTTTAAATCATTCTTGGGTTAATTTAAAGGTTATTACAAAAAAAATTGTCTTCCATTCTAGGTTACACAATTTTGGGTAATTTTAGGTCATTTTTGATCTTGCTATATGGAAAGGATTCAATTCTATTTTAGGTCAGACAATTTTAAGTAATTTTAGCTAATTTTAGGTACTTTTAGTTAATTTTAGGTCATTTTAGGTCATCTTAGGGCTGATTTAAAGGTCTTACCCTGGTTCTTCATGACGGCCTTGTTCGAGACGTATTTATGCGACATGATGACGTTTGATTATGACGTGTCTCCCCAGAAACGTAAATCAAAACATCCGGATGTGCCTCTGTAGTATCCGGCCGTCAGTGATCTGTAAATAAGGAGGGTGTCAGCTGATGGATGTAAACAATAACAGAAGTCAGCTGATGGATGTAAACAATGAAAGATCAGCTGATGTATGTAAACAATAACAGAAGTCAGCTGATAGACGTAATCAATAATAAAAAACAAATTACCTTGGCTGTTCACTTTGTAACAGTATTATTCAGGCTAAATAAACCATTGCTATTTCACTTTCCACGATTTACACACGTTCAGAGAGAGTACCTTTGGTGTGTGTGTGTGTGTATGAGAGAGAGAGAGAGAGAGAATGTATGTATGTATGTATGTATGTATGTATGTAACAGTGTGTGTGTGTGTCTGTCCGTGTCACGCCCGTTACTGAGCAGGAAGGTGTAACTGGACCTAAGAGACACATCCGGTGGAAGTGTTGATGGTAGTTACAACAGGTGAATAGGGTAATTAAGTAGTTAGCTGATCTATTAGCGTTGTTACGACTCTTAGCGTAAGTTTTCAAATGTCTTTCAACTTTAATTATATTTTACAATTGTTCTTCACGTGAACTGATGAACAATGAACAATTATACATGTTCTTCACCTTAATATATGTGAACAAATTACCTCCTTTAGTTCAATAGTGTTCAATTTTAAGGATTAGTTCAGTTTTTGTTCATTAAGCTTCGTTTTGAACTTCATTCGTAGAGTAAAGTGGAGGTGAGGGAAGACTTCAATGTTCCCGATGATGTTAGACCCACAGACAAGGCGGCGCTAATCTTGTTGACTTGAAAACAGACAGGCAGACAGGCAGACAGGCAGACAAACAGACAGACAGACAGACAGACAGATAGATAGCTAGATCGATAGATATTTCACAGATAAACAACCAAACACAAAATCATACACCAAAAGATGCCTTACGAATAATCCAATCACCTTCCATTCCCCGAAACCACTTAACCAATCACATTCCAGAACCCCCAAACCCACTCAGCCAATCATCTTTTACCTCCGCCTAAGGGAACCAATCAGAGACCTCAGCTCCACCGGGTAGATACCAAGCCAGAGGAGGATTAAAAACTTGGCAAGAGGATTCGATTCCCCCGGTGTGGCTTCTTAACACTCTCCACTGAACCTCTTTTGTTATTACTGGTTGATGTTGTTTTATGGCGTTTATACATTTATCATGGTGTCTATAGATTTTCATTGTTTTTATCAGAGGAAAATTTACACTTATACACGTAACTGTGCCTGTAACTGTAACCTGTATATATGTAATCTTATATAAGTTTAATTAATATTATGTATTTCTACTGTAATAGGAATAAAATATAAAACCCACTCTTCTGCGGGCATGACGTGAGCTGATTGGTCCTTGCCCACTACTCACCGTACCCACTCAAGGTTGAGTTTTAGTGGGAGGGGTGATTATAGGCGCTTCAGGGGAGGTGAGGGGGGAGGGGGAGGGTTATAGTAGGTGCTGAGTTGATGAGAGGAGGAAAGAGATCGATGAGGGAGGAGAGAGAGAGAGAGAGAGAGAGAGAGTAAAGATACTACACTGTTTGTTCTGGCTATAAACAAACACAAAACCAAAACAACTAAACAGACAGACAACTATTACACACAAAATAACTTAAACAAGAGTATATGAAATCACGACAATAACACTCAGAATAAATCACCTTTTAGCAAATCAATCACTTTACTACAACAACTCATCAGACACAACACAATACAACAATACAACACAATACACAGCACAATACAACACAATGCAACACAATACAACACAATACAACACAATACAACACAATACAACACAATGACACAATACAACACAATACAACACAATACAACACAATACAACCTAGCCACAACACAATACAACACAATACAACACAATACAACACAATACAACCTATTTTAACACAATACAACACAATACAACACAATACAATATTTTTTTCCACAGATTAAATTCAAGTCTCTAATGAAATAAACCTACAGCCTGTCTACAGCTACAGCTCGTTAAAATAAATTACTTTCCTGTCCTGCCCAGAGAATAAACTGCTTTACCTGTCCAGCTCACCTGTCCTCCCCAGAAAATAGACACTCACTAATGCTGCAGAGGCCAGCTGTCACCTGTCCTCCCCAGAGAATAAACTGCTCCACCTGTCTGCCCAGAGAATAAACTGCTTTACCAGCCATACCCAGAAAATAAACTGCTCACCCCCCTGTCCTGCCCAGAATAAACTGCCCTGTCTGCCAGAGAATAAACAACGTGTACAATCACTCGAAGGAATGTAAATATCTCGGAACAGCCAACAGTTCTTGCTGCCAAATTATACATAAGAAATTTACATTCATAGCGTTATTCACTGTTATGAAGTATAATTCATCATCATGAGAGTGTGGTTAAGATTCAGTCGTTGTGTCGTGTCGTGTCGTGTCGTGTCGTGTCGTGTTGTGTTGTGTCGTGTTGTGTTGTGTTGTGTTGTGTCGTGTTGTGTTGTGTTGTGTTGTGTTGTGTTGTGTCGTGTTGTGTTATGTCATTAATCGTGTTGTGTTGTGTTGTGTCGTGTTGTGTTGTGTCGTGTTGTATTTGTATTTGTGTCGTATTTATGTCGTGTCGTGTCATGTCGTGTTGTGTTGTGTTGTGTCGTATTTGTGTTGTTGTGTCGTGTTGTGTTGTGTTGTGTTGTATTGTATCGTATCCCACTTGTTATGTTGTGTGTTATGTTAATATCGTATCAAGAAATGTTATGTTGTGTTATGTTATGTTATGTTGTGTTATGTTGTGTTATGTTGTGTTATGTTATGTTATGTTGTGTTATGTTGTGTTATGTTGT